ATACAGGAGCTCCCCCATCAGCTCTTTAATTAGCACTAATTATAAAGCTTTTAATTTAATTACATGTGTTTTGTGATCCTATAAGTTTCTTCGTTACCGCATTGAGTTCATGTAATCTCCTAACTCTCCTAATACAAAATAAAAATATTAGACCAAAAACTTGAAAGGAAAATGTTATTCATATTTGGTATTAATTAAGGTGGAAGCGGTAGTTTGATTTTATCCAACAATGGATGCAGACCATCTAGAAGTATGTCCTGCCTTGAGGGACATAAGAGACAAAATATTTCCGAATATACATATAAGAAAGTCTAAATTATACTGGGCAGCAAGATGTCGGATGGCCAAATGACCAACGACTGGCATAAAAAAAAAAAAAAAAAAAAAAAAAAAAATTATCCACGTGACAACAATTATTTTCCAATCTAGATATTTTTCCCTTGAATACAATCTATAATCTATTGTATATATAATCTTATTGATATTATATTGTGATATAATTATAATTATTACGAAATAGAAAAGAAAACGCAATATAACATACAATGAAAATATTAGAAATAAAAGGCCCAAATTGATGTTTGGCATACGTAAAGCTGGACAAGTTGAATATATATTATGGTTACAAATTGTCAAAAAGAATAATTATAATTACATAGTAATATGAATTGGCAATGGAGCGCGATGTATAATATAGATTTTTAGAGAAATTAAAAATTTCTCCTAATTGTGGTTTTGTTGAGTTTATTTTATGTTGATAAGAAATAATACAATCTGTACTACAGAATATATATAAAATACAGTTATACAATTTGAGCAACGAGTATTACAATTAAATGAACAGTTGTATAATTTGTAAAATAGTCAGGGGACAGAGGGTAGCACCTCTTTAGTAATAATAATTATAATTATTTTTTCCTCTCCTACAAAAATTGTATGCTTTGTAGCTACGTCAGATAAGCGATATACTGATATAAAAATTTGGTGTACGCATCCACAACTTTCATTTATTTACTTTGGGTAGATCCTAACTTGTGAACAAGTTGGTATAGTTGATATCTAATTATTTAAATCTATCATGGACAAATATTTGTAATAAGACTAAACTGGTTAATGTATTTTCCTTCATTTTAGTAATTGACAAACCGCCCCCGTCCAGTTGGCAGCTCATTCCCTTTGGCTGTCAGCAATAAGGCCTGGGTATTTGTTCAGTCTAATGAGCTTTTCCGTTTTAGGCTGAACTGAATATTAACAGCGAAATGTAATAGATATATATTTTTTCTTTATTAACGGTAATGAAATATATTTTAATTAATGATAATGAACTTTAACTGAAATATTAATAAACAAGGAAGTTCGAATTGTATTTAATATCTAAATAAAATATTATTGGACTTATTATACAGAGAATAAATAAAATAGAAATATTCAACCTAAGCTAACTAATTTCATATTGCAAGTACAAAAATAATTATATTAATCAAAATTATGCCAATGAAGCTTTATTTTTGCACATAGTAAGAATTTCGTCAACAATAGGAACTGTCCCAGATATGATGTTTAAAAACTGTATATGCTGTATACATGTAATGTTAATTTAATATAATATAAAACTTTATAAAAAGTAAACTTTATATACAATGCGAAAATACCATAACGAAAAAAAAAATCATAGCTATTATATATTATATAATCCACTAGATATATTTTATTAAAATGAATGAATATTAACCGGAGTAAATCGATTTCTCTCAGTGAATCGATTAGTTCAGTCTTACAAATATCTTCTGAAGTAGTCCCGTCATGCTGAAAGAATGATCATTTTAACTATCACTATTCCATAATCATAAACTATTGTGGTTCAAACCATTTTATTACGATTGTTTTGTTATTCATAATAAAAACATTATGTAACCAGCACAATAGCCCTGCGGATTTTACTTTCAACAGTTCAGGACTGCTTTTAGCACTTCGATATTTGGAGGTAATCAAATAGCTATTAAACATAATTTTAAAAAAAAATTATGTTTAATAGCTATGAAATCTATTCCAAATATTATTTTTATAATATTTTTTAAAACTTTATTTATATAATAATCCATGTAAAAGATAAACAAGAAAAAATATTCTTATATAAACTGGACTATGTTAAAAATAAAGATTTTTCCCCATTTAATAGTATCCAATTCCCCTAAGTGTACATTCATATTAAGGGATATTATTATTGTCTGGATGCGGAAGGATCAGCAATATTCCTAGATACTTTATTAGCCTTGAAATGAAAGGAGGCTCTGATAGTGGATCCTACAATTATATTTGCAATAAACGATAAGGATCAACATTAATTAATTCAAAATTAGTTTATTAATTAAAAATCATATGAAGATTAATCCAAAATAGAGAAGGAGGAAAGATATAAAATATGCATTCCTTATCTAAATGAGAAATCTGTAGAGGAATTTGGTGGGAAAGAATTTGCGGTTCGGGACTTGTGTTCGCAAGTTGAGTGGCAATTCCTCTTTCAAATGCTAGTATTTTGGAAAAGCTGGCTGTTCAGGAAAGCAATCAAAGTATGGTATAATCCATTATTTTGGACTCACTGGGAATCCGGCACCATCATCTATATTAATTGTGGCCATGGATATATTAAATGCTTTATGGATAACAGAATTGAAACGAATGAATAATATTAAAAACACTATTTAGGATAACAAATCCGTAAAACTTCATCCTTTCTGTATTTTATTACTAGATATTGCCAACTGGATGGAACAGTATGCCGTGCCAGTTAGCAACTCAATACATTTGAGCAGCATTACGATTTTATTGTACTTTTCTAACTCTACGATAAATAAAAATAAATAATAACCCTGTACCACTACAACCCATGAAAGGTCTTGGGTTCAGTACTATTTAGGGAAAGTACTGATTCTTAGCCAACGGTTGTGCAAGGAAGAGATTTGACTGAGATCACGCCCAATTGCCTGGTTTTCCCTTTAATTATTTATTTAATTAAGGGTACCCTCTTTATAGAAGCTGGATGTGCCCCAAAAGGGTCTCCTGAAACCAGGGTCACCTACCGACCGGTGAAACAGGATAAATAATTTTTATGCCATGAGTCGGGAGCATTGCAAGAAGATCAGTGCTTTGCCACTAAGCTACTCCACTCTCAAAAATAAATAACACAGAAAAATAATAATGCCAAAATTAAATATGTATAAACAAAATAACTAAACTAATCAAAATAAAAACTTAAACGTGATCATACTTTTATACAATATTTACAAATTTCATTAATCCAGGAGAACTCCGAGCCAGGACTTTCTCCTCACTCGTGGAAGGAAAGGCAGGACTCTAGGAGATCTCAGCGCCTCTCACTCTGTCGCATTACTGATATTAAGGACTTTAGAGGCTGAGCAGAGGCGCTATAAATACAGACATGCATGACCTGAGTGGAGAATCTGGCCATTGCCAAAACTCCAATTATGCTTATTCATAAAAATTCTTTGGGCCACTGCCACTTCAACCTTCGAGAAGGATTGTAGGGATGGGTGTAGCTAGGGATTGTGCAAGAGGATTAGGATGATATATAAGGTTCTGATGAATTTTTGATAATTTTTCTGGGACAAGGTCTAGGACATTAAAGTCGTGGTGTAGGAGTTTGTTGGTTACTACATAGAATGGAACATCAACTATTGTTCGAAGGACTTTAGATTGAAAGGATTTAAGTAAAATATAGTAGTAAATTTTAATGCTAACTATATGCTTCATCATTTCGTTATTCAAAAATAATAATGATAATAGTAGGATACTATGAATACGGCTCAGTAATTTCAGTGTGTCACCGGATAAAGATGTTTTATGATCATTAACTGAGATAAGCATATACGGGTGTATGTCATCCACGTAATTATATAATTGATATTCTATCATCTAATGTTTTCATATGCTGGTCGGAATTATCCTCTGTAGTAGGTGGCTTGTTTTATCCACCTATTTTGTTATTTAATCGATAGGCACACCGTTCTTAAACTAACTTTTTTCGAACAAAAATATAGAAGAAATACGATTATAGAAATAGAAAAATCTGGCGTGATAACAAACAATTATCACTTACCACCCACTTCTTAGCAGAAATAAGTATTTTCAGACAAAACGAAGTGAAAGTAAAAATTATAGACGCTATATTTATTTATATTTCGTTGTGGGTATTTTTATTTGTATAAGTAATCTCATGTTTACAAATTTTAATATTTATATCGTTGTAATCTTTACAGTTAAATATTAAATAATACCAACAATAGCAAGTACGAAAGCCACATATGTATATTTATATAATATTGTCGGAGTCCGTATTATATTAATCTTATGATACGTATGGAAGCGTGTTCCAATCTTTCGGGAGAGCTTTGGGTGCGCTCGTATTCCTTTGGTTCCTCGATTTCAACTATTCTCCCTTACGATCTCTTATTTCTCCTTTAGTTATTTATCATTTTTTTTTCATATTTTATATTTAACCATTTTTCATATTAGAAATTAATGTGAAATGATCAATTGTTTCAAATTAAAAAAATTAAAAGTACTTTAGAGGAAGCTAATATCGAAAATTAGCCATTTAAGCTGTGTTATAGAACATCAATCAGAATAATAACCACATTTTATTTAAAACTGCTTAATTTTACACTGATATAAAGAATTTAATAAATCGTTAGAGTCATTTTCGAGAAAATCGTAAAAGTGTGTTTAGTCCTTGATATAAAGTGCCACTTCCACTTAGCCGATTTTGGCGAAAATGTTACTATAATATCCCTGTAACATATAAAAAGCTTAAATATTTAATTTCACTTCCGTACGACTTTTCGTTTTTGAGCTAAACTGTTAACTCATACACAGACATTGCTCACATTCATAAAAAAAGTAAGTTAAATAAATAACACAAAACTTCAATTTCCCAAACCCAAGTTCCATTCGAGAAAAGGTGTAAAAGTGCATTAAAAATGATGCGTAGGAGTGAGTCCGTACCTATTCGCTGTGAAATGATGAACAAGTGGTAAATAAATGGAAATAAATAAAACTAATTTACAGAATAATAATGATAATTATAATTTCTCTAGTAATATTCTCACCTTTCTACTAACGTATTATTATTTTTTGGAATTATTGTTTCAGGGACACTAATCGCATTCACACCCTATTATTCGCCAAAGGCCATAAACCTCCATTGTGGTTGATTGGAGAGTGTGCTAACGTGTGTGATGCCGAAATGTGACAGTTATCTCCAGAGAGCCCGCATCACATATTGCGCGCACTGACGCAAAGAGAAACTCGAATGTGATGGAGCGTTCCTAATCCGACACCGGCGGTCAATTTACGCAAGGCGTTTAACAATCCGACGCGGCTGACGCTGGATTAGGATTAACTTTCCTAACTCCTTGTTGACACGGCAGGATAGTGCACCGGGTCGATACCCGAAACGTCAATTACATCAGGGCAACGGTTCCCCGCCCAGCCCTGATTAGAAAGGACATAGCAGTGAAGATAGCAATTATCACCAATCAATCTTTCTAATAAACGAAATAATCGTTTTCAACGAGACTCTCTTACGAGAGTTAAAAGTTAAATTAAAAGTTAAGTTAAATTAATAAGAACAAATGTATCTCTCTCTTTTTAGAATTTACACAAGAAGTATTAAAGTAAAATAAAAAAAAAGGATTTAAAAAATAATATTAAAACAATTCACCACAAAAAAATATAGTTTTAGGATCGATGTTTCTCAACGAATGGAGAAGAGAAATTTCAAAGAAAATGAACGACAGTTGGAATGCACAGTGGAGATTACTGCCACGCAATCACCTTCATCTGACCAAAGACGAAAATCGAGCTTGGTATCCTCCAAAACACCTGACATCAAAAGAGTGTTCTATAATAAGCAGGCTCAGGATTGGACATACCAAACTGACCCATCTCCACCTACTTCTTGGCTTACATCGACCAACATGTGAAAATGCTAATCTGACAGTTGAACACATATTCCAGTGCAAAAAGTTCCGGAAACAGCAAATCGAACTCCAAATTGATGACAAGGCACCGTACAAGGAAAACACTGGTATTGGAAAAACACTGAAGTGCATTCGAAAAAAAAATTGATAAGTTATATTTAAGAAGGACGATCGTCGCTAATGACCTTGGCAGTCGATGTGACGTTAAAAACAGCAAATAAAAAAAATATATATATGTATTACGTTTCTAATCCTGCTGCCATTATGTAAGTAACGAGATTTCCCTTTATAACTAGTACGCTGAAATTATTTTATATCAGTTTTAACAAATGTCTTTCCGTAATTGATTTGGGAACTAAACTGTAATGAATTATATTCTGAATTTCAACATTAACATTGGCTTAGTACGACTCAAAGAAGAACCGACATACAATAATCTAAAAATTAAATATAATGTTTTGCACCTTTTTGTCGAGAGTAAATGATATTGATCCGTCAGATTTCCGATGTGTAAAGTCAGCTCGGGTAAAACGGGTAAAATCTGCTAGAGTCGACTAATTGAATTGTTTTTTTGCATATGAATTGAAATATCTGAAAAACTAATATTCGGACCTGCATACTTTAAGCGAGGAAAATGTTCAGCATTTTATCCTCTCTGTAAAGGGCTATTATTTATAATTTATATTTCATTTTATTAATCCCACCTTGTTGATGTCTTCTCTTCTATCGTGTGGTCTAAATAATTCACCTTAGTTTTTAAATAATAATTTACCTTATTCATGAGATTACGAAATGTCGATATTTAATTAAAATCCTCTTTATCTGATATTGAGATCCTATTTCAATTGAGATCCACCACAAAAAATATTACCCCCTTGTTTTTTCACCCCAAATTTTTTTTCATACTTCTGTCCACCATCAATGACCAGCGAAGTTGTCGGAATTGCTGTTAATCCCAGTGGGACATGACCCGGTTGTGAAGAGCGTGATGAAGACGGCGTTATGATGAGGTATGTAATATCAGGCCCCTCGAGCTACGCGGAAGGACCCTCCTGGGGTAAGCACCTACCTCCCCCCCCTATTAAACCCTGGTCTTACGGAAAAATCTATATGCGATATCCGACCCAAATCCCAGGTACCCATAGGGATAGTTCTAAACGCTTACATAGTCATAATTGCAACCTTCTATAACGGGATTATTTATATATATTTTAAAATTTTATTCGTGTTGTTTTGATTTCTTTCAGAGAGGTACAGTTTTTCATACTTTACTTTTAGGAAACTCACGTGTCTGATTAGTGAAAGACCAGTGTTTAGACTTTATGTTCCACAAATAGAAGCTCATACGTGTTCAGGGTTTGTAATTAATGATACCTTTTAATCACTTTCCTGAGAAATAGAAGCTTAGATTTTGGATTCCTTTAAAAATGTTGTTTTTGTTGTAACTGGGGTTGTTGTTGTATGACCATTAATTGCACAAGTTCATAAATATTATAAGAACATAGTATGTATACATAAAATATTACTAATGATTTAGAGATGGTTGACCGTGATATAATATGAGAAGAAGTTGATCGGGGGGTGAGGGGAGGGTGCGGTCAAATAAATACAAAATTTTATATAATAGTATTTTTAATTATTACGCCGACGTTTCGACCCACCTTGCAGGTCTTCATCGGGGCTACAAAATATAAAAGGTACATGGTGAAAATAAAATAAAAGAATTATAAGTAGATATTCAATAAGAAACAATTATGTGATAAAGAAATAATAAGATGATATGAGATATATAGTATAATTTAGTTAAAATATCAAGTATTTTATATATAGAAGATACAGACAAAAATAGAAAATAAGTATGAATAAAAATTTAAAACAAAGGAGAATATAGCATGTAAGTTAAAAGTAAACAGATTGTGATAAAATATAAGAAATGAGTGTATAGCAAACTAATACAGATTACATTTGATAACTGTATGTTAACAGATAATGAAAATGAATGTTGACGAATAAAGAAATTTCATTTCTTATCTTTTATCACAATCTGTTTGCTTTTAACTTACATGCTATATTCTCCTTTGTTTTATATTTTTATTCATACTTATTTTCTATTCTTGTCTCTATCTTTTATATATAAAATACTTGATATTTTAACTACATTGTCACCCACTACATCTCTGATATCATCTTATTATTTCTTTACCAGACAACTGTTTCTTATTTAATATCTACTTATAATTCAATTATTTTATTTTCACTATGTACCTTTTGTATTTTGTAGCCCTGATGAAGACCTGCAAGGTGGGTCGAAACGTCGTCGTAATAATTAAAAATATTATTTTATAAAATTTTGTATTTATTTGACCGCAACCCCCGATCAATTCCTTCTCATAAAATATTACTATTATATTGATCCTATATTAACTCCTCTAACTAAAACTTTCCTTAGCCATGCAATATGCATTTTACACATTCCATACCCATGGGATACGGATATCATAAGGTCCTTAGAATGGTTAGGACCTTAGCATCTTTCACACGACTTTTCGGAGCTATGGCAACCTATTTCGAAACTGAACGTGACCGAGAGGATGAAGGCCGTGGGGTTGACGACAGTGTACTTCTCCCTTACTGCTGCGACATTAAAGCCACCCCTAAAGTTAATTGGGTAACTTGGCGGGGGGCTTAAAATTGTCTTGTGGGATTATGGCGTACTTAAGTGTTCAACCTTTCTTTTAGTATTTTGCTTCACTTAAGGACGGTAAACTTTTTTTCTCGATATTAAAATAAGCATCACGTCCTTATTCCTCTTTAAAAAGTTGCATACATTTTAGCGGTATTCAAAATATAATTATACTTATTATAATTACAGGGTATTACGTAAGTAGTGGGAAATATTTAAAAGGTAGATAGTAGACATCTATCTATGTAATAGAGATGCGTGCAAATAACTGGAAAGAAATAAGCAGAGGTGAACTAGGCTTGTTATGGCATCAGAAGATCTATAAGTTCTGTAATGCCAACAGGAAAAAAAAATTCTACATGTATTTTATTGTACTTCGTATCTATCATTAAGGGTAGAGGAGGGATGAGAATTTCAATTTTATTTTAATTACATAATTTAGCATTCTGTGTTGAAAGGCAAATGAATGATCTATGTTGACTTATTTTTTAGCAGAAGATATTTTCATTATTACATATTTTATTATCGTACATTAAATTAACGTGTTAAAAAGGCGGGAATATATTCTAACATTATCTAGTAAGTTAAGGCAGCAATGTCACATCTAAATATTATAGTTTGTATTTGTCTAATTTTGGCATTAATTGAAAATCTGAGAATAGCGTGCTCAGGTGATCTTGAACTGAGATACCCTATGCATTTAATTTATCATGTATCCATTTAGAGAAATATATATATTTTTTTATTATCATAAATTCATTTTTACATTTCATTATCTAACAGTTCGTTTTAATATCTATGAATATTTTCTAAATAATTTTATTTTGATTTCTTTCTTTATTATTTATTTATTTTCTGTCTCTTTTATTACTTATATTAATTTTTCTAAATATCCGCTCAAGATGTTTTATGAATACATGAAAAGGTTGGCAGCTAGATCTACAAAAAAATTCATATAAACAATAACCCAATTCTCAGCAGAAAAGTAAACAATTTAAGATTTGTGTTTTTTTAAAGCGAGTCGCGTTTTTTGTTGAATTGTAAGTGATAACATAAAAGATTTCTGATTTAACTAATTTAACATTGCTCCATAGTAAACTAGATAAAATTTACTTTAAACGAAAGTAGAGTTTGTCATTATTAAAACTACTTAAAGAGGACTATTTAGCGAACAGACACAGCTAAGTTCCGTTTAAAAAATAGTCATAAATTATTTGTTTTGTTTTTTATCAACCTTAAACATTTATTCCAATTTCAGAAAAACTTACTCGTTTGATAAGAAGTCCATATTTAAGAGTTTTATTACAAAAATTTTGTTATCCACCTCAAGTTGTGTAATTAGCTATTTTTTATCCAGACACCTTAAAGATTTTTGTCTTCAAATAATTGTTGGTGAAGCTTTTATTTCTTGTTTTTCCGTGATTGAGATGTATCGTAATAAAAATAATTGGCTAAAAGCACATTTTATTTATAAAAATAATGATTTTTCAGGTATTTTTCTTGTAAGGTGGTTATGAAATTATGCGTTTTCTCAGATTTCTGTCATAAGAGTTCATGCTTATTTTTTGTGTCAAACTTAATGTTTTTTGCTATAATATTTAAATTTTCATGAAAATAATTGAAGCAATCGGTAGGTTTCTTTATTTTTAAAGTAAATTTTAGTAACGCATCAACTCCTATGACAGAAATCTGAGAGAATCTTTACTTACGGGACACTGCATATATATATAAATGACTTGATATATCGGTGAAATGTCGAAATTTTATGTAGGTGAAGTTGATATTATATAATAATAAAAAAATAATCCCCATGAAAAAAGAAGAAAATTTAGGTTTGACAATTATTTGAATTGAACTTATGTCTAAAATTAACTGTCATTTTCATATGATGGGAAATTTTTATCGAAAATACTAGGGATAATGTAAAAATTGGATCGGGTTGTAGTTATTACCTCTCTTCTATATTCGTAACGCAACAATCATACATTTCTAACTGGAACTAGAATCAATTCCAGTAATCGCTCAATGTCAAAAACATGAGGATTCACTGACCTTTGGAAGATGGGCTCGGAGAAAATCTTATCTCGAAGGTAATTACTCACAATGGAAATAAGCCCGGGGCTTTTCTGCCTCGTTTACGGCCCCTCGGGAAAATATTTGCTCGCTTTGAGAAAAACAAAAGCTTTACGAGATTGAATTTTAAAATAAGGGGGGGTGCTATCATTAATGTTTTCATCGTTTCTTATTCAAGTTTGAAATCTTTGTGCAACGAGATTGTTGTTTCTACCAAATTAAACAAACCGAAGGGTAATTGTTACTT